GCAGGTAGTTACCAATGTAAAATTAAAGTTCAGGAGAGAGGTGATGACTAAATATAGATATACGAGAGTCGTTTACATAAGAAGGTACTTGAATTCATGGGAATAACTGAGATGAGCAAGGTAAAGCATGTGCAAAAGCAAAGAGAAGCAACCCAAAGAGAGAGCCTTACCCACACTGACTGGAGAAAAATGGTGATCCAAGAAAGGAGATTGAGAAGGTACAGTTAAAGGGGAAAAAAGAGAAGCCTTAATTTGACAATTATGGCCCTCCCCAATCAGTGTTGATACTTCCAGGAGAAATTCTATTCTTTATTTGGCTGTCATCATAAGCAAAAACTGAGTGGAAATGATGGAAATGTTGAGGACAAAGTAGTTACTCCATCTTAGATTTGTGACAGAGAGAAAATCCAGGAATAGCCTGACCTGCATCCTAGATTTTGGGATGACAGTAATCCAGGATTTCAGAAAATGGATAGGTAGGATCCCATGGACTAAAATTCTACAGTGGAAGTTACCCCAAGTGGGATAGTTAGTACAAATGAAATTCTGAAAAAACAAAAACATTTTAACATCCTAGTTACCTTCCTTTAGAAACCTTCTGGCTCATCAACATCCTTCCTAAAACATGATACCATGAACTGAACATAATATGCCATATGTAGTAGAAGCAGGACAGAGCACTGTGGTATTATCAGCTCTACAGACTTTGATTCTTCTTTTAATGAAGCAAATCTCAGTACACATTTCAATACAGCACATAACAACTACATAAAATACAATATAGACAGCATTCACCCATTAGGTAGGGAATTGGACATAGGACCTCCAAAGTCCATTCCACCTTTAGAATTGTCAAGCAACAAGTATTTATTAATCACCTGCAACATGCCAGGAAATGAGTGAAGTAACAGATAAACAAGCAAAAATGAAACAGTTTAACCTAGGAGCTTACAAAGGGGAAGCAGGCAGACGCACACACACAGACACAGACAGACAGACAGAGACACACACACACACAGACACACACACACACACACACACACACACACAGAGAAACACACACGAGATAATTGTAAGATAGGGGTAGCACTAGTATCTGGAGGGATCAGGAAAGACCTTATACAGGAGGAAGTACTTAAGCTAAGCTTTAAAGGAAGCTAAGCAGTCTAAGAGGCAAAGGTTAAGGAAGGAGAAAATCTTCCTAGGTATGGAGATGGGAAATGGAACTTAAGGTAGAAGGGCTGGATCACAGAATATGTAAATGACAGTAACAGGTACTAAATCTAGAAAGGTAAATTATAGCCAGGTGGTAAAGAGGTTTAAAAACTAAGCAGAGGCCCACATTTGATCTCAGAGACAAAAATGTCACTGGGGTTTCTTGAGCATACATACAGTGATCTGTGATTAGGAATACCACTTTGGTAGCTGTGTGGAGGATGGATTGGAGAGCGGAGAGACATGAGGCAGGTAAATAAATTAGAAGCTATTCCAGTAGTCTTCGTGAGAGATATGTGGAGCCTGAACTAGAGTTGTCATTGTGTTAATGGACAAAACCGGAACATGTGTGACTGAAAAGGGGCAGCTAGTTGGTGCAGTGGATGGGATGCTAGGCTTGAAGTCAGGAAGACTCATCTTCCTGAATTCAAATCCAGCCTCAGACACTTACTAGCTATGCAACCCAGGGCAAGTCACTTAACACCAAAGGAAATGGCAAATTATTCCACTGTCTTTACCAGGAAAATCCCAAATGGAGTCAGGAAGAGTCAGACATAACTGAAAAAGACTGAACAACAACAAAACTAGATATTCTGATAAAATTAAATGGAGGAATAAACCTGATTTTTGGCAACGTTAACCAGAACAGCAGGCTGGTTTTCAAAGAAGCAGAAGAACTAGAATACAAATTGCTAACATTCACTGGATCATACAGAAAGCAAGGGAGTTCCAGAAAAACATACACTTTTGCTTCACTGACTATACTAAAGCTTTTGAAGCAAAACAAAATATGGCCAAGTCCTTAAAGAGATGGGAGCACCAGATCACCTTACTCGTCTCCTGAGGAGCCTGTACGTGGGCCACAAAGGTACAGTTAGAATTGAACATGGAACAACTGCTTGGTTTAAGACTGGAAAAGGACAGGGCGGCAAGGTGGCACAGTGTTAGAACACCAGCCCTGGTGTCAGGATGTCCTGAATTCAAATCCAGCCTCAGACACTTGACACATACTAGCTGTGTGACACTGGGTAAGTCACTTAACACCACTGCCTAGTCAAAAAAAAAAAAGGAATATGAACATTAGTCACTAGTCAAAAAAAAAAAAAAGGAATATGAACATAGTCACTAGTATTGATGACCAAGATTGGAAAATCAGTATGACAAGACTGTATATTGTCACCTTATTTATTTAACTTATATGCAGAACACATCATGTGAAACACCAATCTGGATGAATCAAAAGCCAGAATTAAGGTTGCCAGGAGAAATACCAACAATCTCAGATATGCAGATGATACTGCTCTGATGGCATAAAATGAAGAATTAAGAAGTCTCTTGAGATGAGGGTGAAAGCTGACTTGGAAGCTTTTTTAAGAAGCTTTTTTAACTAGATCTTGGCAACTGGTCCCATCACTTCTTCACAAATAGAGACAAGAAATTGAAGCAGTGTGACAGCATACTAAAAAACACAGTCAGACACAACTGAACAACAAAAGAAGTTAACAAGTTACAACTCCAAAGTTGAAACATTCTCCCCCTACCTCCAATCACCCCACATCCTGCCCATATTACTCAGTCTCTCAAATAAGGTAAGAGGGCTGAACACCAAATAGGCTCCTTTTCTTGCTTGTAATTTTGCCCTAAGGCTGGGTTAAAAGCTTTTTCAAGTGTGTATTTCCCTCAGTTGAGCAAAACTGCTAACCCTGGGCAATGGCCCATTGTCATTTTTCAATCTTTTCAACCGTATCCAACTCTTTGTGACCCCATTTGGGGTTTTCTTGGCAAAGATACTGTAATGGTTTGCTATTTCTTCTCCAGCTCATTTTACAGATGAGAAAACCGAGGCAAACAGGGTTAAGTGATTTGACCAGGATCACACAGCTAATAATTGTCTGAGACCTGATTTGAATTTGGGTAGTCCTGACTCCAGGCCCAGATTCTATCCACTGAGCTACCTAACTGCCCAACTGTCAATTACCTGATGCTAATTAATTTTTATATTCTAGCTCTACTTCTGGATTTTTTGACTTCCAGTCAAGTGGACCAAAGTCTGAGGAATTATTATAGTTAATTCTGAGGTGGAAAACCTAGATGACTGGAAGAATGACAGTGCCTTCCACAAGAACTAAAGAGGAGTAAATTTAGAGACAAAGATAATGATTTCTGAATTGAACATACTAAATACAAGATACCTAAAGGACACATGGTGATATGGGACGGGAGCTCAGGAAAGATCAGGGCTGGTTATATAATTTTGGGAGTTATGTGAGGAGAGATGATAGTTAAACCTACAGGAATTTATAAGATCACCAAAAGAATGAACAAAGAGAAGAAAGGAGGAACCAAGTGAAAACCCTGGGTACACCCACAATTAGAAGGTAGGTTACTGATAATGATTCAGCAAATGAGCCTGAGAAGGCAAAATCAGACAGAAGAAACAAGAGAAAATACCGTCACAAAAAAAAAGAATAGAATATCTGGGTGAGGGTTGGTCAATAGTGTCACATGCTGCAAAAAGAATTTGAGAATTAAGAAAAGTTCATAATACTGGGCAATTAAGAGATCATAAGTAGCAGTGGGGAGCAATCTCAGTAGAATAATGAAGGCAGAAGCCAGAGAGCCAGAGAGAGAAGGAAAAGTAGAAACAAGGATATAGAGGGCTGGCTTTGGGGAGTTGGACGGCTTATGCCAGCCCAGGTCTTACCTGTAGATTATACTAAGCCTGACAGTTGTGAAACTCAGGATGTCAGCTCACCACCCCCCTGTTCTGTCTCTTGAGAACAGGATGCAGGAAGGGAGGAAACGGATGGGGTACAGGACAGGACGCAGGAAAGAAAGTAACAGACAAGGTACAACAAAGTAAGGAAATCACTTAATTAGGTTTGTGCTTTTCATGGAAAATAATGTTACTATTGCTTGATCCAGTACTATATAAGTCTGAGGCCTCAGATCAATAAACGAAGTTTGTTCTTCACATCTTCCACCTGGCCTGTGATTCTTTCTGTCTTCACACTGCCGGCATCAGACCACAGCCGTGGACGCAGGTGCTTGCGGCACAAGGAGTGTAGTCAGTTGCATGGTCAAACGAGGATTTTTAAGAATGGAGGATGCTTGGGCAAAGACATGTTTTGTATAGACTAAGAAATGTTTTTCGTTAAATAAATAAAACTGAGCATTCTCTCTTTTCAATTTGTTTTCAGTGGGAAAAATCTTCAGAGTAAATTATTGTCTTCTCAAGTTTCCCTAAGAATGGGGATATACTTTTTATTACTGCATTGCATTCTAGCCTCAAGGAAGAGCAATAGGACAAATTCATCAAAATTAAATGCCAAAAGGAGGAAAAAAGAGTCATAGCTAGAATGAAGCTTCTTAGCTAAATAAGTTTCCACTTTCCTTCATATTCTTTAACTTTCTAAAAAACAAGAAGTCTATCCTAGATTTTCCTAGCAAAAACTTGGTTGTCCAAGCAGTACCTTCTGTTAGTAAACTTCCTACCACATGAATTACCTTGGTGAAGATCAGGAAGTAGATTCTCTTTTACTTTTAACTGTTTTCAGAAGTCCATGGTAGGAAATGAGTATAGAATCAGAATACTCAAATTTTATCCCTGAAACTTTTGCCGCAGAGATCCAGGTTAAAAGAAAAAAAAAATAAACTTAGTTTTATATTTTTAAATAAACATTATAAAAACTATACAAATTACTTTTCTACTAACTGTATATAAGAAAGTAAATTATCTAGCTCTAAATTATTACTAACTAAATCTTCAGTCATTAAAAGGATATAATTTGGTGGAAGAAAGTTCCAACTTAAGACCTGATTTGCTAGTGCAAGATAACGCTGAAACACTGAAGACATCTGAGCATTTAGATTTTCCCGTCGGCTAAACTCCTGCAGCACTTCAACAGTTAACATGAAATCTGTCGAAGGTCTTCTTCCTAAATTAAAGCAATTATAAACATTCTTGTATCAAAACATAAATGTTAAAATGTCCTCTATTAGAATAACGGTACTTTAAGTCTTTTTTTTTTTTTAAAACGCTCTTCAATTCTTAGGAGTGCTCCGAAATTGTTCAATACTATACCTCTCAATAATAAGGATTTTAATAGATTAGTATTTTTGCATGCACATGCACACACACATTTTAAATATAAATGCTGGTTCTATAACAAAGCCCACATTCCTCCAGCTATGTTATAGTTCTCATGAAAGAAGAGTCAGTTGTTCTACTGCATAGTCCTAGGATTTAAGGGAATGCCTTCACATAACACTTCCCTTGAGCAAGACAATACATGAGACAACCAGCCCACATCATCAGCAATAACATTTTAAAATACATAGCTATCCCTGGCCTACAGCCAAGCCTATTTTTGTGACCAGAAGAGGTTCAACAACAGTAATTAAATTTGAAAACAGTAAGCAATAAACACAGCTAGAACCATTACTAAGAAAATACTGAGAGATTTGGGGATGAACCTGATATTAAATAAAGCTTAAAGTTTTGAAGATGTTTAAAATACTGAAAATTTTATTCTTTTTCCAGTAAAGTCATAGTGCAAAATTTCCAAGTACAAAATCTTAGTCACCTGGACAAAATCTCTTCTGCTATGCTTTTTCTAGATGAGAATAAAATACTAATTTTAAATGTACATGTTGATAGCAGTACCTGAAAAATTCTTTTGCAGTTACCATGAAATTCCATGCTTAGTCCAATGTTGCTTGTTTTACTCGAACTTGAGAATTCACTCAACAGTGCTGTTAGAATGGAACATGCCAGAGTTTGCTTGAAAAAAGAAAAATAAAACAAATGTTTTATATATGTTCACTTGCAACAAATATTTTTGCTAGTTTGTTAGAAAATTTCTATTAGATTTCAGAAGGCTCCCAAAATCAGAAAATTAGCTATTACAATAATAATAATTAGTTCTCTTCCATTTACTAAAAATATGACAAATGTCAATGACACTTTTAGCAATACAACAGTTAGTGCCCACATGAGAATTCAAGATACTCTACTTTCCTATTCAAACATGATATAAATAAAAACTCTGAAACAGTTTCTCCCTCAGGATTTAGTCAATTCTTTTCTGATGCTATGTTGAATAAGAAGTATTCAATAATTTAATTTCCCACATGTTCTGATGTGAATATAAGTCATCCTAAGCAAGTTAAAGAGAGATAAACTAGTAGTCACAAATCTCCAAAATATTACATAGGCCATGTATAGGGACCCTGAAATCAGAAATTAAGATTTTCCTTCCCAATAACTCTATCCAACATAGTCAGAACTTCAAAACCATTGGCTTTATCCACAGACTATTTGGAGCCAAGGTGACAAAGATGGACAGAGTGGTAGGAATTGTTAAAAGGTCAGGCATGCTGGCAAGTGTCCATGGGTTAAACAGAAATATGCACACTACCTCTGAACAACCGAAAGATTAAAGTCAAGATGATACTATTTATGCAAGCTTATAGAACAGCTGAAAGCATTGCCATCCACCCAACAACTGCAATATCTTTGTTCTGAAATGCCTCTGATGTCAGTACCTTGACCCTACAGATGCTCATTATCTAAGCAAATTTAAATCAAATCCTTATTTGCCTCAAATCACAAACAGCTAAAGATGCTATACAGTGAATCTTTACTGATGTCTCACCCACTGAAAATGAATTTCAAGCCCCCCTCCCAAAAAAATTTAAATGCCTATTATGTACAAAGCACTGGCTATATATATATACACAATGATTAAAAGATCAATTCACCAAAAATCACTTTATGTTGGAGCTGAAATGTATCTTAAGAGATCTAGTCCAACTGCCTTATTTTACAGATGAAGAGACTAAGCACTTTGATTTAGAAATGGCTTCCTTTTTATTTTTCTTAATCTGATATAAACAGAAGCCACTCTCCAATAGTTAATGGTGAAAGGACATGTAAAGAAGCATTTCCCAAAAGAAAAACGGCCAACTTCCAACAACCATATGAAAAAATGAATCACTATTAGTAAGAGAAATATAAATTGAAGCAATTGTGAGGTTCTCTACCTCATACTCTTTAGACTGGCAAAGACGACAAAAAAGTAAAGGAAAGTAATTGCTGGAGCAGCTGAGGAAGATTAAGAATACTAATACATGGTTGTTGGGGCTAGGAATTAACTGATCCAACCTTTCTGGAAAGTAATCTGGAACTATACTCAATAAAGTCACTAAACTGTACAGACTCTATTATGACTCAGTAACACCATCATACAAGGAACAGCCAGACACCAAAAAGATTGAGAAAAGAACCCTTAGGAACTTTGATCAATTATGAATTACTGAGGACCAATGAAGATGCTACTTATCTCCTGGCAGAAGTGATGGACTAAATATATAGAATAAGACATTTTTAGATGTGATCAAGGTGGGATTTTGTTTTGCCTAATTATGCCTATTTGTTACAGGGTTTGGTTTGGTTTTTTTGGAGGGGGAGACTGTGGCTGGGAGAGAATAAATGTTTATTGAAAAATTTTAATTTAAAAAACACTAAATATACTAAAACAACTTAATCATTCTTTGGCTTAAACAATAATTCATAATTGTATAGAACCTTCCAGGAGACTTTTATGAAAAGCTATAGATACTGGCAAAATTCAGAACCGGTAGGCTATGAAACCTACTGGGACAATGTCAGATAATTAAGCTGATACTTCTACTTCCATGTAACAAAACTCATTTAATAACACCAGTAACAACATCAACAAGATATTTTTCAACGTGTAAGCACAAAGCATCAATTGCACACTGGTCAGAGAGGACCAAACAACAGAAATACAAGCAGGGAAAAAAAAACTGGAGGGTGGAGGTGGGGTGTTGGTTGACCACAAATTCAATATATGGCAGTATGCCATGGCTGCTAAAAGACCTAATGCAATCTCAATTGTTTTACTATAGTATAAGATATAAAAATATAACGTACAGATAAAGGAGTGCACTAATTCCATTATATTTTGCATAGGTCAAAGCACATTTGGAATACTGATTTTAAGTAAAGGACATCATTCTTTAAGGGCTGCTAAAAGAATGGAGTAAGCCCAGAGAAGGTGATCAGGATGGTAACAGATTTGAAAAGCACGTCAGAATGATGAACAGATGCTGAAGGAACTGGAAACATTCACTGGGAGATGAAAACTCAGAGTGGACATGAATATTGGCTTGAAATCTGAATGGCTGTGAGGCAGAAAAAGGATTTAACTTATTGTGTAGCTACAATGGGCTAGGCTTTACAATTCTCAAAATTAAAGGGTTGGACAGTATAAATTCTGAGGTCTCTCCTCTAAATAGATGTTCTTGTAGGCTAATGGGTAAAGGGTGCAGGAAGTAAGATTTCAATTTGATATACGGAAATACAATGACAGTGATTAAAAAATGAAATGGGCTCTCTCAAAATGTAGTAATCTCCCCACCAATGGAAGGATGTCTCAAGGCTAAATGACTTTTCCATCAAGGATAATTGAAAAAATTCTGCTACGTAAGGTAAGCTAGATTTTTGACAAAGAATTATTTATTTTAGTTTCACATGAATTTTGTGATACCTAAAGCTGGGGTATAAGCCAGCTAGGAATGAAATTCTAGGGGAGGAAGAGGAAACCCAAAGAAAGGGCCAAGTGACCTTTGGATAGTACAAGAATATGTTACCAACCTGCTGTTTTCTAAGCTTCAGTGGACATACAATCTTTTAGGTCTCTGACTTGTGAATGAAGCATTAAGCTCCTTCTTTCTGCCTTGTCAGCTAAGCTCTTGAAGGGTTTATGATTCCAGTGGCATAGGGACCCACTTCCACAAGGCAGGTGATACCCTCTTCAGATCCTTGTAGGGTCTGTGAATTTTATTGGTGCAGGCCCTTCCTCTGCAAATGCAAATCACATTCTAGCTCAGTAAATGGTTTTCAACAAGAGCTGCTGGGATTTGGCCAACCTGATAATAAATTTCTGCGAGTCTAGCTGGTTTGGTCTATAGATAACAGAAATAGAGACCTCATATAGTGGCACCCAAGCAAGCACTCCAAGTGCTTTTGGCTGGGCAGCAGGGCTTCATGGTCACGTGCTAAGGACAGTGCAGACACTACTCATAGTTTAAGAGAAAAAGAACTGCTTTTGAATAATTCAGAGAGGAGAATTTCATCTTAATAAGATAAAAACACCGAAAGAGTGATTGATAGGCAGCCCTATGAGTTATCAACTTTGCTTCCTATATCTGACTAGTCTATACTACCATTAGTATGTAAAAGGTAATGCCTCTTTGATCTGGCATCATGGGGAATTAAGTGTCACAATTAAGTAAACTTTCAGATAGTTTTTTCCCCATTCTTTTAAAACTTTAAATCATCCTATTGATAATTTAAAAAAACATACACATCCATCTGCCTTCTTAAATAAAGTAGAATGAACATGATTAAGTTTTCCTTTGTTGACTTCAGGTCACCATTGTGATCAGTAGATTATAACTCCAAGTACATGACTATGTAGGCATCGGACAACTCAGAATCTAAGGCATAATTTCTTCAATGGCACAATAAGTAAATTAGATTAATTTCCAAGGTCTCTTCCAGTCAAAAAAAAATGCCATGATGTTATTTTACAAACTATTAGAGCCTATCTTCAGAGGCCAGTGAGAGATGTAAAATTGGTCTCTATGCTAAAGAGAATCATTCTGCTATGCTTCAGGGGTTCTTGTGCTCCCTCTGAATAATTTTCATGTTTCTTCCCTTGCCGGTACTGTTCCCCATTAAACTACTTTGTCTGATAGAGCCCCATCTCCATTCTTGCTACATAGAGCCATAGAGCCCTCTGCTTCACCATATCTTTATTATGTTACTTTTAATCAGCTAAGGGATATAGGGAACTGATTCAAATTTAGAAGACCCATCCTCCAAGTGATAGTCAAAGAATATGAACATTCATTTTACATAAGAAGAAATCCAAACCATCAATAGCCATGAAAAAAATGCTCTAAATTATTAGAAAAACACATTATAGCAACTCTAAACTACCACTTTCTACCCATCAGATTGGCAAAGCTGGTTAAAAGAAATGATAAATACCAGAGGGGCTTTGGGATCTATACATTAACCTGGTCATTCTATAAAGCAGTTTGGAACTATGCCCCAAAAGTTACTAACTTGTGCATGTCTTTTGATCCAGCAATACCATTACTAGGTCTATACCCCAAAAAGATCAAATAAAAAGGAAAAGGACCCATACATACAAAAATGCTTAGAGTAGCTCTTTTTTATGATGGTAAAGAAATGGAAATTAAAGTGGAGGGGGCACCTATCAATTGTGTATTTGTACACAATAATGATATATAAACATAATGGAATACTGTAATACTACTGTGGTGTAAAAAGTAATGAAGGAGATCAATTATTTCAGGAAGACCTGCATGAATTGATGTGGAGTGAAGTGAGCAGAATGAGGAAAACAATTTATGAACTCACAAAAAACCTGTAAAAACAAACAACTTTGAAAAACTTAAGAATTCTGATCAAAAGAATAACCAACCAGGATCCCTAAGCCCTGATGATGACTACCTTCTCACAGAAAGGTGACAAGATTAAATATGCAGAATGAGCCATTTTCAGACACTGCCAATGTGGGAATTTTTTTTGCTTGACTATGCATGTTAGTTACAAGGGTCCCCCCCTTCAACCTCCAACAGAGAGCAGTGGGGAGGAAAAATAGATTTGATCACGGAAAACAAATTAAATTAAATTAAAAATAAAGCTAATCTTTAATTCATAAA